TTATTAAGGATTTTTGCATCTATATTCATTAAGGAGATTGGTCTGTAGTTCTCCTTTTTGGTTGTATCTTTCTCTGGTTTGGGAATCAGAGTGATACTTGCTTCCAGGAATGAATTTGGAAGTATAGCTTCTCTTTCAATTTCATTGAAAAGTTTGAAGAGTAATGGTAGTAGTTCTTCTAAGTCTGTTGTTTTTCTATCATCTCACATTTATTCATTTGTTTATTTGGTTTTCCATGTAAGAGAAAACATAATATTTAACTTTCTGAGTCTGACTTATTTCACTTAACATCATGGTCTTCAGTTCAATCCATTTTCCTGTAAATGACTAATTTGATTTTCTTTACTTCTGCATAATATTTATTGTGCATATGCACCGCATTTTCTTTATCCATTCATATGTTGATGGGCACTTAGGTTGGTTCCATATCTTGGCCATTATTAATTGTGCCACAATGAATTAGTGTATACACATATTTTTATAGTTTGCTGACTTTAATTTCTTTCCTTAGTAAGGAGTAGTATAGCTGGATCATATGGTAGTTCTATTTTTAGTTTTTTAGGAACCTCCATACCAATTTTTTACAGTGACTATACTAATTTACATTACCATCCAAGTGTAAAAGTGTTCCCTTCTCTCTACATTCTCATCAGCAGTTTTTTTTTGTATTATTAATAATAGCTATTCTGGCTAGGGTGAGATAAAATCTTAATGCAATTTTGACTTCTGCAATGGCAAAAGATGTTAAACCCCTTGTCATATTCTTATTGACTTTGTACTTTTTCTTTTGAGAAGTGTCTGTTTTATTCATTTGCCTATGTATTGATTGGGCTAAGTGGATTTTTGGCGCTAATTTTTTTTTAGTTCTTTATATATTTTTGAGGTATTAATCCTGTCAGAAAAGTGGCTGGCAAAGATTTCTCCCATTCTGTAGGAACCCTCATCACTCTCTTGATTCTTTTGCTGTGTAGACTTTTTGATTTAATGTAGTCCCATGTGTTAATATTTGCTATTATTTCCTGTGCTACTATAGTCCTATTCGGGAAGCATTTGCCTGTGTTCATGACTTCAAATGTTTTTGCTCTGTTTTCTTTTATAGAGGAAAGTTATAAATTTTCAGTTCTTACATCAAAGTCTTTATTATGGCTTGTATCTAGATGTCCTCCCAAAGCCTCATGTGCTCATAGGTGGGGCTTTTCAGTGGTGGTTTAATTTAGGGTGTGTGATATGGATTAAGAATGTTTGATAAGTAAACTAGTCTACTAATTTAATCATAGTTCCCAGTGTGGATAAGGGTAAGGCCTATCCTGGGTGTAGATGGCACCAACCAACAGACTCATAGTCTGAATGGAATTAATGGGAAATGGAGGCTCACTGCAGCTGCCTTCTGCCTGTCCTGCCATGGACTGTATCTTCTCTGCCATGTCCTTCTGTCATGCCACTCTGCCTTGGAGCAAGCTGACTATGGACTAAAACTTCTACAAACTTTAAGCTAAAGTAAACCTTTCCTCCTTTAACTTGTGGGTGTTGGGTATTTTGTGCTAGCAAGAAGAAAATAACTGACCGGGCAGGGTGGTGCATGCCTGTAATCCCAGCACTCAGGAGGCTGAGGCAGGAGGATCGCTGTGAGTTTGAGACCAGCCTGGACTACACATTGAGTTCCAGGTCAGTCTCAACTACATAGTGAGACCCTGTCTTATAAAAAAGAAGAAGAAGAAGAAAATAACTAAGGAAGTCTTGGAACTATTTTAATTGGCTTTTTTAGGTTTTTAGAAAAGGATCTAGTATTTTTCTTCTACATATGGATATCCAATTTCCCCAGCACTATTTGTTAAGGAAGCTGTCTTTTCTGTTTTGGGTTTCCCTTTGTCAAAAATCAGGTGGCTGCAGTTGTGTAGGTTTGTTAATATATGTTCTGTTTTACTTCATTGGACTGTGTGTATTTTTGTGTTGGTATCATGCTGTTTATGATAATAATATTTGTAGTATACATTGAAATCAGCTATTATTACTCCTACAACCCTACTTGTTTTGCTTAAGATTATCTTCTAAATAAAAGTGAACCTTGAGTGAAATTAGTACATTTAGCCATTCAAAAAAGGACATATTCTCATTTAAAAATATATATATATTTTTGAGATGAGAGTCTAAGTTTTCTGGCCAACTTTGAGCCCATGCTTCTTCTGCCTTAGCTTCCTAGGTGGCATTACAGGTAAGTTTTATTATGCCCAGCCTACTTTCCAATGTTTAAGGGAAAAAGAGGAAGACTTCATATATATATATATATTTGTTTTTTTGATATAGGGTCTCACACATAGTTGAGACTGACCTGGAACTCACTATGTAGCCCAGGCTCGTCTTGAACTCACAGCAATCCTCCTGCCTCTGCCTTCTGAGTGCTGGGATTACAGGGGTGAGCCACCACTCCTGGCTCAGATATTTTCAACTACTTGGTAACACAACAGTATATTCTTGAATAGAAGCTAGAGCTGTAATTTTTAGAGAACACTGGTTGCACTTAGGAGAAACTGCTTTATGAGAATTAGATTTAATGGCTCTGTCAAATTTTCAGCAAAAGGGACACAATAACAGCAACAAAATTGTATATAAGCTAATACTCAAAATGCTTGTGGGAATAGGTACAGATAAGGAAAACAAATGAAAATAGAAAAGTATAAATCAGAAACAGACTACTGCAGCTAATCTACGGTAATGACACTTATCATTAGTTACTTAATTGACCTTTACATTGTTTTTCATCTAATACTAAGAGAAACATTTCAAGCACAGGTAGTGGATAGGCAACTCTTGCAAGTTTCTGTACTGTCTTTCTCCTCCTTGGCTGTTCTACAACCCAAATAAGTTTAAGTATACATACATGAAAATGAAGGGGTTTGTTTTTATGCTGCCAATAATGATTGTCACATTATCATCACTATCACTGTCGCTATTGCTGATGTCATCTTCTTCCTCTATGGGTACCTATGGGGTATTCAAGACACAAGGGAAAGTCAATATGGAAATAGGATCCTAGATAAAACTGGCAATCAAAGAGAGATTTATATCTTAATGTTAACATCAGTGGTGATAATCTTAAAAAGAGAAAATAAAGTTGGAACAAAGCTTAGCAACCAGGATTACACCATAACCTGACCATAGCCCCTTGCACACATCAAGATCATTGGGTAAGTATCTTGATAATCTTTGGAATACAGTTTTCTTGTGACAGTAGATTATGCAACATAACAATAACACCATATAACCTGAGGAGATGGGAGAGCTGGCTCTAGAATATTTTAGTGGCCCCTATTGCTGATTATAATTCTTAATTTGCATCTATTATTGCTATTTATTTTCTTTTTTCCTAAATATAAAAAAGAGACTCTACACATCAAGATCTAATCCAGTTTACCTCTCCAATGCAATTACTCTGGCTTCAGCATAACATACTGAAGCTATTTGAGAGAATTATTACTTACATAGTTGATTGGCAGTATTCATAAATTTTATACTTGCAAATTCTCCTGCTTACTAATGCATATTTATGACCCCCAAATCAATATTTGCTTTGTGCTTTCAGTCATTTACAGATATGCCAAGAGTGGCTTTAACTTGATTCACTTGTAGTGCACATTTCTAGCTGGGGTACAAGAAAATGATACTCTTCCTTCATTTTTCAGAACTTATACTGTAAGCAAATTTTGCGTATTGGCTATTTAATTTCATATTTCTGTGCTTTACATTCACAATTTTATTGTTAGAATGGCCCCTAGACATAGTGCTAAAGAATTGTCTTAGCAGAAGAATACTGGGATTTGCCTTATAAAGAAAACTTATGCTAGACAAGCTTTGGTCAGTTATGAGTGATAATGCTTTTGGTCATGAGTCCAATGTTAATGAATTAACAACATGTTACAATAAGGTAGCTTTAAACAGAAATGTACAAAAACAAAGTTATGTCTTGATTGGTTGACATAAATGTGACCAAAGGCTCCCAGGAATTTAAGTCTGTATTTCATCTAGGAATAATGGATCAGTATTTGTTAATTTAATATTTAGAGTAACTTTACAGAGCATTAACAATCATTAATGTTGAGAGTTGACTATATCTGTATAATACACAAGTAGAAAATTTCTCAACCAAATATCACTAGGTTTTACTGAAAAAAAATCTCAAAATGGTTTATTGCAATGTGAGTACTGATGGAAATCAGTATGGAGATACCTCAAAATCTATATTAGAAATTCCATTTGATTCAATTATGCCTCTCCTGAGTGTATTACCCAAAGAATTAAAGACATCATGCTATAATGATGCATGCATATCTATGTTTATAACATTACAATTAAACAGAGCTAAACTCTGAAAACAGCCTAGATGCCCATCAATAGATGAATGAATAAAGAATATGTGGCCTACACTGTGACAAAAATAGCTTGCTACTGGCAAAGAAATAGACCTGAGGATCAGTGGAATAGATTGGAAGATACAAAAACAATCCCAGATGTACTCAACTACCTCGTCTTTGACAAAGGGGCCAACCATCCCCAGTGGAGGAAAGAGAGCCTCTTTAATAAATGGTGTTGGAGGGCTGGGGATTTAGCTCAGTGGTTCTGCTGCCTGCCTTGCAAACACAAGGACTTGAGTTCAATCCCTGGTACCAAAAAAAAAAAATGGTGTTGGAAAAACTGGATTTCAACCTGTCAAAGATGAAAACTAGACCCTTATTTTTCACATGCACTAAACTAAAATCCAAGTGGATTAAAGTTCTAAATATTAAAAAAGCAACTCTAAATCTTCTGGAAGATAAGTTAGGCAGAACTCTTAAAGACATTGGCATAGGAAAAGACTATGAACAAATCCTCAGTAGCACAGGAACTAGCACAAAGAATCAACAACTGGGACCTCATCTTATTAAAAAGCTTCTGCACTGCAAAAGAAACCATCAACAGAACTAAGAGACAACCTACAATGTGGGAAAAATTTTTTACCAGCTGCTCCTCAGGCAAAGGACTATTATCTAGAATATATAAAGAATTAAAAAAAACAGCCCCCCCAAATATAAAGACCCAATTCAAATATGGGCATCTGAAATGACACATTTTTCAGACAAAGAAGTAAAAGCAGCAAGTAAATACATGAAAAAATGCTCCACATCACTGATCATTCGAGAGATGAAGATGAAAACAACACTGAGATTCCACCTCACCCCACAAAGAATGGCTGCTATCAAGAAATCAACCAATAACAAATGTTGGTAGGGTTGTGGGGAGAAAGGAACCCTTCTCCACTATTGGTGAGAGTGCAGACTGGTGCAACAACTGTGGAAATCAATATGGAGATACCTCAAAGAGCTGGGACTAGAGGTTCCATTTGATCCAGCCATCCCTCTGCTGGTTATCTTTCCAAGAGAATTAAAAGAATCATATCACAGTGATATATCCACACCCATGTTTATAGTGGCAGTTTGTAATAGCTAAAACTTGGAAACAGCCCATTTGCCCATCAGTTGGAGACTGGATAAAGAAGATGTGGTTTTTCTATAAAATGGAATATTACTCAGCCATAAAGAATGAGAAATTAAATTCATTCATAGGAAAATGGATACATATTGAGGATATATTCCTAAGTGAAATAAGTAAATCACACATGTGTAAATACCAAATATTTTCTCTGTTGCAAATAAAGTAAAATAGTACATAAGATCCTAGTGATATAATGGACAATGTGAACTAGGAAAGGGGCTAAAGGTATAGGGAAGGCGGGATGGGTAGGGGAAAGCTAATAATGGAAAAGAAAAAATATGAGAAAATGAAAAAATGGAAATGGAGTGTTTGTAAAGGGGGAGGGGAGGAGGGGTGAAGGGAGGGCAGGGACAAGGGGAAAAATGAGAACCACGACCTGTCATGTAAAGGTCCAAGATCCCAATGATGAATGTAACTATACCTAAAATTTACCAATAAACTCAATGAGAAAAAAGAAAGAATATGTGGCCTATATACACAATGTCATAATATTTAAGCTTAAAGAAGGTGGAAATCATATTATTTGCAGGAAAATGGATGGAACTTGAGACCGTAACATTAAGTGAACTAAGTCAGACAGTTAAATATTACTTGGTTTATCTTGTATGAGAAATCTAAAATATAAGTAAGTAAACTATTATATATTGCAAACATATGCTAATAGAAAAAAAGCATTTGGAAATAGAAGAGCTACTTAGTAGGCCCCAATATAGTATTAGAAAAACTTTTACAGTAATGCCAGACTAACTGCATTTTCTTTTTTGATACATTTATAAGCTTGACAGATTACTGACATAAGTTAGATTACATTGCAGTCTCAACAGAACACTTGACTATATCTTTCATTATATCTTTTTGGACAACATGGAGTTATACGGTCTTCAATGATAAAACAATTGAGTAGTAACCTGATTAAGGGTTTTTTTTGGTACCAGGTTTTGAACTCAGATCCTTGTGCTTGTGAAGCAGGCACCAGAACCACTGATCTAAATCCCCAGCCATTGATTAGGGAATTATTGCAAGATAGTTCTATGGTACCGGATTTAAGCTTTATTCTTCCAAGCCCTGACTTTTTTTTAAGAGTAGGAAAAATCTGTTGAGAGAAAGATAGCTTCTATTGAAGAGAGACAGTACAGGGACTGGAAAGTGAGTTGCCCACTCACCCCACTTCTCAAAGATGTTTTGTACAGCAAAGCCATGAGGTGAGGTGGGCTCAAGGTGGGACAAAAGTATAAGAGCCAATGGAAAATTACAAGGTGGGCATGAGGTGGGGCAAAACCATGACCAACCAATAAGATTACAAGCACAGGTACCCAGTAATATTGATTAAATGGGGGGTCACATGGGGGAGCGAGTCATTTGGCAAGCTTACAAGGATGTTCAGTCAGGATGGGTTGGGGATATTTCCTGGAAAGGCTGGGTTAAGACCTTGGTCCCTCAACCCAGGTGACTTATGCCTATTCAGAATATCAATCACTGGTATGTATCCCCAGGGGAAGCACAAGGCTGTGATAATTTCTCTCCTTGTACAATTCTGAACTTCAGTGAATGTGTCTTACTTGTCCTCCATGTTGGTTCCTTGACTTTCCTCCATGATTAAAGCTCTGTCTTTGACAAAATTTTTATTAATAATTTTCACAAAGAAATAGTAAGATTCACTAATATAGTTTGATGTGTTAAGAAATTATATAAGTACTGGGTATGATGGTAGAAGTATCCCTCACATGGTTTTGTTAGTTAGAAGAGTTAAACATAGGAAAATGGATGCATATTGAGGATATACTCCGAAGTGAAATAAACAAGTCACACATGTGTAAATACTGAATAGTTTCTCTGATGTGAAAAACTATAACAGCACATAAAATCCTAATGAAATATCTGACAATCTGAAATAGAAAGAAAAGGGCTAAAGCTGTGGGGAAAGTGGGAAGGGTAGGGGAAAGGTAATAAGGGAAAAGAAAAAATATGAGAAAATGAAAAAATGGAAATAAAGTGTTTGCAAATGGGGAGGGGAGGAGGGGGTGAAGGGAGGGCAGGGACAAGGGGAAAAAATGAGAACCAAGACCTGTCATGTAAAGGTACAAGATCCCAATAATGAATGTAACTATATCGTATACCTAAAATGTACCAATAAACTCAATGAGAAAAAAAGAAGAGTTAAAATTTAGAAAGGAGACTATATTCTAAGGAAAGAAAGATAGGAACAGCTCTAGGAATCAAGAATTAGGTGAAAAGAAAGCTGAAAACAAAGAAAAATAGAAAGACAACAGAAAGAAAAGTGTGAAGCAATCTCTAATGCCAACCCTGATTCCTTGCAAGGAGGGGAACCTGACTCCACAAACACAAGGTAAACTTGGAAAGGACCAGCATCCTCAGTGATAAACAACATACTAGCAGCTCTAGCCACAGGAGAAACCCACTGTTATTGCATGGTGAAATTCAGTGTGGGAGTTTAG